TGGATCTTAGTGTGTATGATTGTGTAGGTAGATTAGAGATTTCAGTTATTTATTAAATAAACTTCAATTAGAGAATTCAGAAAGTTAATTAACATAAGAGATAGGACGCGGAGGGTCCGCTTAGGGAGACGACTAGCCTTTGAAGTTGTATCATAAATCTTCCTATTTAGTGTATTTTTAATTACAGGCAATGTCAATATCGAAAGTCATATCTTCAACCAGACGCTTACGAACAAGTGAAGTTTTAGGAAAGATGTGTTATATATGTTGATTGATTTGAAATAAGAATCAGGATTTTTTTTTTTCCTTTGGTTTGTTTTTTCCGTCGATCTTGTTTTCCGTGCTGAGCACCAATGCTATCGACGTGCTAGGAAGGCAGCTCCCACACCTAGACCCTACCTATCGACCCATCAACTCATGAACCGGGGACTAACGGCTTTACTTCCCATCCGAAGGAAGGCGTGATCAGAGATGTTATGCCTCAGAACATCCCGGCAGCGCCGACTGGGAAGAATTAGGATTGTTGTGCTTCAGTTTTCGTTAAGGTATGATGTGTCAACAAAACCCTTTTGAGCAAATTTTCAAACATCACATTGATTGAGTGATTTATTGAAAGACATTGAGTTGCGAAAATTGACAAGTCATACATCTAACATAGTAGTAGTAGCAGTGTCGCATAATCTTATCACAATTGCTGCAAATAGTGCAGCTGAATACGGATTAAAACTAACATAACTACTAACACTAAAATGATCCCGGAACTAACAGTTATCCATTGCACTTTTAGTTATATATTAGTTTTATTTTCCTACTAAGTTATCTATGCTTCTTTCTAGTGTTTGGATCAAGTATAACTAATACTAATCTACCTTTATGTATGTTTTACTCCCTTTTAACCCATTATCTTTATGAATGGCGAATCATATGACGAGAGACACGGGGATTTCAATTGACTAAGGAGAAGGAAAAGAATAACTTCGAACAGGGGCATCGTGGCGTTATATACTCGGAGAGGTATTTGATAAATAATCAAAAAGTGGTAAGTTAAAATCATAGTGGAGCCAAGGATCATTAGAGGTAATTGTCTATAATTCATTAATTAGTAGAAATCTCGATAACTTTTTCAAGGGAGCGTGTCGGCTTTTGTAGGCGGTGCGTTTGGTCGTCGATTTGGCGTAACTGGTGGCTCGCCCACGCATGCTAGCACTATCATCAGATAGGGAAATTTTCCTCTACCTGTTAGTGATGTTGGTAGGCGGGTGCGAGCTGCCGGTTGCGCCGGATCGACGATCGGATGCATTGTTTGCAGGAGCTGATGCTTCCCTTTGAAAAAATAATCGAGAAACAACCATATTATCCTGTAATTGATATTACTATTTTTATATATCAATGAAATTAGTCATGACAGAGTAACAGAACGAGTTTAAAAACAGATGGGGAAGGACAATAGACACAAGTTGACACAACAAACAAGACAAGTGGGGGTTAATACACAAGACAAAATGACAAAATAAGTGACGACAGAAGACAAGACTGGGACAAAAATCAACCTTTAAAAAAAAAACAAGAATGCGCAATTATATTATCAACACTATTTGGATCAGCACAAAAACAACAGTGACCAAACGGCACCATAGCCTAGGAACGTCTGTGTGTTGATTTAAAATAGAGGCTCATAGGAGCAAAATTTATCAATAAAAGGGCTCCTGTGTAGAGTTTAAGCAAGTGCTGCCACTGTGATCACTACAAAAAAAAAACTTGACATAAATTTATTGAGCCATTCTGACTGAAAATTGTAAATTCCACACTTTATTTTTATCAAAATGACATACCCAAGCAGCACACCTCGATCGAAATAAGCTGCTGCAACTTGATTGTGACTGGAATAAGTGGCACACAAGTAACCACAATTGTTCAGTGACATGTGTGCTGCTAGGGTACCTAAGACTGATAGATCTCTGACTTCTGAAGCTAAGCGGCAATTGTAAAGAGCATCTACAAAATTATATTAAGTCTTCTGAAATCAGTCCGCATCGTGCTCTATTGCCGTATGGATCTATTTGCTTTTTACTGAAGGAAGTGTTAATGCTACCTAAAGCTACAACAAATTTAAACAGCACTTCTCAGTGCTCAAGCTGTATAAATTTCTACTTTGTATGACTATTATTCCTCTTCGATCCTTGTTTGGACCCTACCCGAGGTAATCCTGCTTGGCTATTGACTTGGGAAATTCCTCTTAGATCCTTCGGATTCTTACAGTAATATGCTTGGAAATAGATTTGAAAAAATTTGGTTCTGCCGCCATGGCGCCTAAGCGCAAAAGAAAAGGGCAATCGCTTGATCCCCCTTCTGATGAAATTAATTGGAGCAATCAATTTGATATGCTTACGGATTATGAGAATGATCCATCATCCAGGCAACATTCCATTCAATATTTCCGGCTTAGTGCCAAAAAGGAAAAGGTTCCCCCTATTGTTGCAACCACTTCCGATTTCCATGCTCTTCGCAAGGAACTCTTGAACTTAGTCCAATTTAAGTTTTCACTTCAAATTTTCCGTCGAAGTAAATGCCGTGTATTGGCAGAAACCTTGGATGGATTCAAACGTCTTCTAAGTACCTTCACTGAAAAGTAACACACATTTTTTACTTACGACACCTCGTACGACACCAAAACTGAACGTCTGTTCAACGTTGTTTTGAAAAGTCTTCCCAGTGGTGAATTCCTAGATCAGATCAAAGATGAATTGACTAAATTATAAAACCCAACCAGATCAAAGATGAATTGACTAAATTACTTGGAGTTGAGCCTGTCCAAGTAATCAAAATGAAAATGAAATCCCGTCCTGGCGATTCACGCAACGGGATTTCCAATTATTTTTATTTAGTTCACTTCAAGTCTAGTGAACTAAACAACCTTAAGGCCTTAGAAAAAGCTAGCCTTATGCTCCATGTCCGAGTGAAGTGGGAACACTTCAGGAAGACTGGTGGACATTTCCAAAACCTCACCCTGTACCGTAAGTGCCAGGGATGGGGTCACGGAACGAAAAATTGCACGCTAATGACGACTGTCCTTAAAAAATTCAAATTGTGGTGAAAACCACAAATCAAATTTTTGGGAATGTAAGACTCGCAAAGCGATCCTACAATCTCGTTCTAAGCGACAGGTAGGAAACGCTCCACGTTACCGACCAAGTACTGTTAACAGCGATCAACGAGGAACAAATTCTTCATCTATACCTGCTCCCCTCGCTACTAAAAATGTTCAACGAGTAAATTCAGTAAATGCGAGCTGCTATTGCAGCTGGTAGAAATCAAAATTCTAGCCAACATAATTCTAACGGAAATTTTGATAACTTTGACTTAGGAAGCATTACTGCTAGCATCAGAAATCATTAATTGGCATGATTACTGATATGCTGAAAGCTAACTCCATGTTTGATGCTATTCAATCTGAAGTTAAATTTGCGGAAAATATCGTCATAACTTTGAAATTTAGTAATGGATATTAAATCATTAAATATTTTGAATTTGAATGCTCGATCTCCTAAAGATAATGAAGACGAGCTATTGAACCTTCTGAGAGTTCATAAGGTGCATATTACCGTTATAACTGAAACGTTCCTTAAACATGATCATAAGGTTAAAAGGGACGCAAATTATTTCATTTATCGAAATGATCGTCTTGATGAAGCCTGTAGATAAGAGGTAAAATACCAAAAAATACTACCAAAAAATATTCCCGCAATACCATTCCGATACCAAATTATGCAAATGCAATACCAAAAAATACCACACAGGTATTCTTTAGGTAAACAAATTTATCAATTTTTCTTATTTGCAAAGTATTTTGCATGCAATTTTTTGGTATTATTCTTTGGTATTTTACCACTTATGTCATGATGGTCAACACCAAATTTTAGTATCAGATCAAAATGAGGTAATCATTAGTTATTTTCTCCGGCTCAGGTACTGGTATTAGCTTAACCAGTCAAGGTCAAAAACACGTCGGAAAATTCGATAGTTAGCGAAAATTTCTTAGGTACTAATTTAGTAATTGGTTGATTTACATAGTTGCCTAGCCTTAACACATTCGGAGAATCTACTTAATCTATGTTAGTACTTATCTACGTTAGTCGATGTTTGAATATTGCTTACGGTTTTTTATTATTATTTGTGTAGTCCGTATCCGTGTTGATTCCAATTCCGCGGCTTGGGTGACCTTGGTACACTCCAAGGATCGGTTCACTCACCGTTGTTCACCTTGGTATATTCCAAGGGGTCCGTTTTTACATGCGCAAGTGGGAATACGCGGAATGGTTTCGTCGCGTCATCATCCACTTGGCAATCGCTAACGCAATATACCGGTAAAGTTAAGGTAATGGTCGCGTAGCGTTTTCTTTCCCGTACATTCAATTTTTTTTACTCGTTTTTTGGCAGACGCCCCACGTTGGGCGCCAATGCAACCGTTCGCGAAGAATGCTCGAGGTTCAAGTGAAACTCGGTGGCTTAAGCGCCACTCCCTTTACGAGAGACCACCGGTCGTGTTTTCTTTGCCCGACTTAGAGACTGATCCTCAGAGGACCACCCAAACGGTATCATTAACCCTTCCTCAATGAAATTCAAAACTTTAACGGAAAACTAATCTTTATCGAAAGTACACCTTTATCCGATCCATTTAACATCAGGGAAACCCGCAATCTCAAAGAAGTCCACAAATTATAGTCCCAATTTTCATTAGACCTAACGAACCAAGCTAAACCGAATGTGTCTGATGCGAATCCAAGACGAGCCCAAGAACTGAATGGCGAGCGAGTCAGCTAAAAAACCGTGACAGAAAAATAAGTAACTCAACGAAAAAACTTCAAATTTCAATCTATATTCACATCATTCCTTAACATTCATTCGGGTTGGACTAAATTCGGTTCAAAAAGCAAACTATTCATGGCCATGAAAAAAAAGTACGTACATACCTACGCAGGTTTTTTCGATGCGATGCGATGATGGCGACGGATGAATCGGTGATGGCGACGGATGGAGCGGTAATGGCGGCCGGTGACCTTACCAAGGTCCTAGCGATGGCGACTGTCGACCTTCCGACGACCTGTGATGATGGCGGCGGTCTCGGAATGTCGCCGATCAAGCTGCGGAAATGGCGTGCAACGACGAAAAGTGACCCGTGTGTGGTATGGCCGAAATTAGAGGTGCGGAGGTAGTGGCAGCTGGACGGAAGGCTTCCGATTTGCTTTCTAGAGAGCTGAGCATCGACGGAGTCGAGCATTTCCCGGGAGATTCGCTCCGCGGAAGAGAGAGACCACCGTACCGTCGCACTGCTTCGCGTACTATGTTTCCGCTATGACCGCCCTTTGGTTAAAATCCGAACCGAGGTACGCAATTGGCTTCGTACTTCTGCTGTCCGAGCTCTCGAATGTCACGGTCCCCGGGGTTGTAACGTAAAGGGGACTCTACCAACGGCTTTTGGCGACCCTTGGGGAACTAGCAAACTAGCGACTTCACGACACTCCGTTTATCTACCTACAAGAGGCGGGCCTTCCCAATGCACCGGGTCTTGTCCGAATCCAACGGATGGAAATGGCGGCCAAGTTGACGCCACGACAAACCAGACGGTCCGGCGACGATGGAAACCGAACACGCCGAAAATTCCAGCCCGTTGAACGAGCTTTTTGTATTTAGACACACTATTTACACAACGGTTTGAAACGCGAACTACTTGCTACAGGCAAGAAAAATCTTTATCTTTTTGATCGAATTTCACTGAGTTCACACTTGACTGACGAACTTGAAAACCGCGTCAAACAGCACTGCTTTCCAGCCGATTCGTTTCCGAAATACCAGAGACTAGAATTTCTTTTTTCTCAAGAAACCACGGAATTTCTTAAAGATAAAAGGATCGGATATGGCGCGAAAAATCAATGTTCGGATTTGCCATTTTACTCAGGTGTTCATTTGAATCCTATCTCTTTCACGTATTTCCCAATCTATAAACAAAAGCTACATCTGCTAGCTTGCTATAAAAGCTTCATACATACAAGCTCACTTTTATCTTGCCATAAAATTCCCGACAAATGTACGTATCACGTAGCTTTTTGCTACATTGTATTGGAAACGAATCACTCGTTTTTAATTGCATTGAAATTCTTAATTAATTACAAGGTTCAAATACTAACCATAGTTATTCTAAACTAAACTAAAAATTGAAATGAAATAAACGCACGACGTTACAATTTAATCTCGTATTCACGCAAGGCATCATAATTTGAAATTTATTGCTCCGAATCTACGTGGTCATATGCCAGCGAGGATCACAGTAGGACTGCTTAGCACCTTTATGGAAAAATGAAGTGTTTCACACAGCAATTGAATACTCAATCTTCGTACAAAATTCTTCTTCCTCCAGCGACTGGGAATACGAGGAAGTGCCGGAATACCATAAAGTAAATTACGAAGAAGCCAAACGTAGACTATGTACAATAAATTGGCAAAATTTAATAAGTATTGAAGGAAATGTCGATACTGAAGTAGAAAAATTTCACTCAATTCTTCAAAGCCTAATTTTAGAAACTTTACCATCAAAAAAAACAAGAAGAACACAAAACAATAAACTACCCGCATGGTTCAATCCACAACTGAAAAATTTAAAGTAAAAAAACAGAAAGCTCATAAACTATACAAAAAAGAAAAAACTGAAACCAATTTGCGAAACTATCACACCTTATGCAACCAATTAAATGCAGCCATCAACTCTGCATATGAGGACTATAACCGCAAAGTCGAAAATGAAGTCAAATCATGTCCTAAGAACTTTTTTAATTATGTAAACACGAAATTAAAAAGCAGCAATTTTCCTTCGCGAATGAATTTGGATGCAAATGTAGGTGAGAATTCTTCTGAAATTTGCAATCTCTTTGCAAATTTCTTCCAAGAAGTATACACCACATTTTCCGAAGAAGATCGTGACCGCGATTTCTTTGCATTCATTCCTGAAATTTCTAAAAACATTTCTGTCAACCAACTTTCTCAACATGAAGTCCTCAATGCACTAAAAAACTTAAACGCGTCGAAAGGGTCTGGACCTGACGGCATCGCACCCATATTTTTGAAAAACCTTTCTGAAGAACTCGCATTTCCTCTAGAGCGTCTTTTCAACATGTCTCTGAAAAATGGAAAATTCCCTGAAATTTGGAAATCATCTTATTTGGTACCTATTTTCAAATCAGGTGCAAAATCAGACATTCGAAATTATCGTGGAATTGCTATTATTTCTTGCATTCCAAAACTTTTTGAATCAATCGTAAACGGCAATATTTTTCTGCAGGTGAAAAATCTAATTACAAGTAAACAGCACGGCTTTTTTAAAGGTCGCTCAACTACATCTAATCTTCTAGAATATGTATCTTTCATTATTAAAGCGTTGGACAGTGGCAAGCACCTTGAAGCGCTATACACCGACTTTAGTAAAGCATTTGACCGCATCGACATACCATTATTAATCCTCAAATTGCAGAAAATAGGAATGGAGCCTGGACTTTTGAATTGGCTTCAATCATACCTAACACACCGTAAACAAATAGTTCGCTTTCAAAATAAACTTTCGGAACCAATTTCAGTCACCTCTGGGGTACCCCAGGGTTCTCATTTAGGCCCACTTCTTTTTATTTTGTACATAAACGACATTTCCTACATACTTAAAAAAATAAAATTGCTTGTATATGCAGACGACATGAAGCTCTTGTCTTGAAGCGATGCAGAAGAATTCCAGAATGAAATCAATATATTCCACACCTGGTGTAGTAAAAGTCTACTTCAACTGAACGTAAAAAAATGTACTGCAATAGCATTTAGCAGAAAAATTGAAACACCGCATATTGAAATATCATTAGGCAACCAAATAGTAGAAAAAAGCAAAATTGTAAGAGATCTAGGTGTAATCCTAGACTCCAAACTAACTTTTATAGAACATTATAATACTATCATTAGTAAAGCAAACAGAATGCTAGGCTTCATCAAAAGGTTCAGTCATAATTTCGAAGACCCGTACACTATTAAGCTATTATATATCACATATGTAAGGCCAATTCTGGAATACTGCCACCTAGTATGGAATCCATACATTTCCATACACAAAGAACGCATAGAATCTGTACAAAAACAATTTCTTTTATATGCTTTACGTAAATTAAATTGGACTGCATTTCCATTACCATCTTATGAAGCGCGCTGCATGCTCATCAATATACAAACACTTAAGGAGCACCGCCAATTTGCAATGCTTTTCTTCATCAACGACATTATTTCAATGCGCATAGATTCGGCAGAAATTCTCGTACAATTAAACTTTTACACACCTTGTCGATATCTTAGAACACGGAATTTATTTTCAGAAACATCGTACAGAACAAACTATGCAAAAAGTAGCCCAATCAATCGAATGATGCGCCTATATAATTTGCATTGCGGAACTATTGACATCACTATGTCCAAGCAGCAAATACAAACTAAGCTAAAACAGAATAGAATTAATGCATAGTATGTAAGTAAACATTGTAATAATCATTGTATGTAGTCTACACTGGCTTTACGAAATGGAAATAAATAAATAAAGATCTTTGGTTCTATACTAGGAATTGCAGGTAATATTGACTTTAAGCTTTAAAAATGTTCATCATTTCAAAAGATAACTCATTATATTTCAATTTCCAACTTCTATTCAAACCAATATAACCAGGTACCAACAACCCTAGAAAATTGAAGATTCATTTAAAAGATATTATTCTTGCTTTTTGCTTTTCGGTCTGACTATATGGATTGCCATAATTGTAGAGATGTTATTTGGAAGTTGTACAAATAATATGTTAAATTATATATTGGCATATACAAAATTATATTAGATGCAAGATAAAGTTATACATGGAGTTGTATAAAGTACCATATTGAATCATATGAAATCATACAATGTAGGAGTATTTTTCCACATGCACGGATATGGCCTCCAGATTTGTACGTATAGTTGAATTCTATGCACTTTATACGATTTATTTTTACCGAATAAAGATTCACTTAGCAGAGCAGCAATGCAGTAATGTGAACAAAATTGTTGGCTGGGTTATTTTCGATACAGTCCTTATATCCGAGGGTATGAAATTACATCCATTGGAATCACAAAAGGTAGCATGGCAATCCTCACACGTGCAATCGCGCGCGCAAGCTGCAGTGAGTTCCAGTTCAATTCACTCTTTCTCTCGCTCTTGCTTGATGGAACCCGCCGTTACTGTTGGAAGTGCGTAATGTTTTTATTACAACCCAAACACGTTTGAAATCCCGCTCGAGATGGGGGGTTGCGTCGGCTTACAGCGGAACAGCTGAGAACCCCCATAAACACAACAGCGTGGCATCCCACGGTAAGCGGCAGGAAAATCTCACCAAACACCAAGCAGCAGCTGTTTGGCCGCTGCTGAGCGGTTCGTACTTACCCGAACACTATACTCGGTGACGGCGCACGGCGGCACCGATACTACATTGGGGTGTCCTCTCACGTTCAAACCTTGGCCTGCCAAGCAGAAAGCAAGCATCAAGCGTTGTTGTAGAACCAAAGTGAGTGGCGAACGTTGTTAAGTGTAAGGTATTTCCACTAAATTTGCCGACATTGGCAAGCAGTTGTGTTCGACCATTCAACCAGAACGGTTCACTTACAGCGAGCGAGACTTATTGAAGCAACGCGCTTCGACCCGCGGTTATATTGCAAATCCTTCCTTCCCTTATTCTTCTATTTCTTCTTCTTCAGTTGGTGTGTGCGTCGTGTTTGTGTAGTTGACCCCCACCACCGTTTCTCCGTTGGACCCTAAACAAGTGTTTCGCCCTTTTGAATCAGGTTGTTTTGTTTGGGGTTTTGGGTCCGTGTAGTGGACTTCCAGCTGATGACGCTGTTGTGCGACGGAAAGTTGTTGCTGATGCTGCTGATAGTTGAATGAAGTTGAGAGGATTACAAGCGACAGGGTCCTGCCAATTAAGGAAGGTTTAATGTTTAAAGTTTTGAAGTTCGATCAGGATTGCTCGAGGCAACAATGTTGCATGTGTGAAGTGTGTTTAGGGCAAGGAGTTGTCGGTTCACGATCGAATTAACGGATAATGCAGTTCTCGTGCTGTATTGAACT